AAAGTATGAGTGTGTTGAACAACTCCTACTTTATTTAATTGCTAACACGTTTGGAAGATTAGTGGACTTGGTCTCTCATTATTTAATTGCTAACATGTCCTCCACTTTACTCAATAAATATCAAATATTCTAAATAAACTAATTTGCAGCCTAACAAGTACTCCGTATTATTTTATAAAAATTCCCAAATTTAAAACTTAAATAGATCTTAGACATTCCAAATTCAAAAGCCCATGCCATGAGATTGAGGGAGTGTGAAACTTGAACACAATCACAGTATCACACAAATTAAAAGAGTTTTATAACTGAAAATAACCAAGATCACTATAATATAACTATCGAGATTATAAAAAGCGGTGATCATTTGTACACTATATGCAATATTTATTTTAACGATATTGGTCAAAATTCTTAATAAAAGAGGTAATTTTAAACCATCTAGTTCACTCGTAGTGAGGGTATGTAATCAACCACACACTGACACACAAAGACCTGGCATACCCACACGGGTAGCTCAATGGATAAATTCATAAAACGAGAAAGTTGAATAAATGATCAAGGATCGAAACCCATAACGATCGTGTGCATGTCATAGCTCCTATGTGGGATCCTTGGGGTTGTGCATGTCACAACCTTTTAGACTAATAAACACAAATATCTGGCCATGTAGTAGGTTTGGTCTATCATGAGGAGGAGACACGAGGTAGATGAATCGGACGGAGATGGTTATCAATTAGATTGTTTGAATTCCAAAGCTATGGTGGCCCTTGAGCCGGATGATCATCGCACGAAATGGATAGAAAATTATTGAGTACTACGGTCCAGACTCCAGAGTACTTTAAGACTTTTTTTTTGTGCCAATGACAAGGCAAACACGTAACGGAAATTGTAGCACTCCTAAAATAGATATACGTAGTATGACTATTGACATCCTCTTTAGCAAAGCCATAATGACTTACTCCTTTGGTCCAAATTGTCCCATTTTTATATTTGGATGTGTTCGGTGTTCCATTAATATTGTCCGATACTAAAATTCGTAATAATGTTTCGGTGGTTGTGATTCATTTATAATTGATAGTAAGGGTGGGCGCGGTCCGGAACGGCCCGGGAAATTAGTAAAATCCGTAATGTATCCGTGAGGTTTCTAACGGTCTGGTACGGTCCGGTACGGTCCGGTTCTAAAGATGGAACAGTACAAAACGGTACGATACAATGCCAAACACATGCTAAAAAAATTGGATAAATCTTGCAATTAGTAAATATCATAATACCAACTAACTCACATGAAATTTCGATATAAATACAAGAAATTGCATATGTAGTATTAAAATTTACAAACACACCAATAGTGCAACATAACTAAGAAAAAGTATATCAACATGATGATACATCAGATAAACATCATCTTAAAATTACTAAGTTCATATGAAAATATAAAAAGAATATCATCAAGTTGTTGAATGTAATAGAAAAAATCATCGTTCTTCTTCTTTGTTCTTCATTAAATATTAGTTCGAATTTAATTTATAGTTGGACGTGAGACCAGACCTTATTATAACCTGCATATTCACTCATACAAACCTTATTATTCATCATCTTAGGATGTTTTCTTTTGGACTGTTTTCAGTCCCAGACCAGACTTCCGTAGTTATAAAATACACAGAGATCAGACGTTTATCAGACCAGACCAGACCAGCAAATTTCAGTCCAAAAGAAAATATCCTCGCTCCTCTATCTTTAGGTCTAATCTTTCCTAAATAATACAGAGAATGTTTGGGATCCTATATTCCATGCACCACTGATGTATCAAATGTTAGGGAGCAGAATTGAAGCTAGTAGTACTAATTAAATTAGGCTTAGTTTGTTTAAACAGACCAAGATATAATACATAATTCAATTTGTCTTTGGGAATTGTCATAAATATCCAAACATTTGGAAAATGAATAATCTAAGTGTATGTGAAGAACTTGAGTTAATTAACATTCATACTCCGTAGAATATACGCATGAAATCTTAGTAATTAATACGTTCTAAATTTCGTATCTATTACTCCGTGCTACGTAATGTCTACGTTGTGACATCTCATCGCGTAGAAAGTTTGGACAATTAACTTGATACAATTAAAGTGTATATAATTGTACTAATATGAATGAATCAAACTAACCAACCCCAAAGTGTAGTTGACGGTAACATATTACCAAATACCAAACGATCAAACAAAACATTATTATTTTCTAATCCACTCAAAACTGCAAGAAGATATATATATATTAGTCACACTGAAAAGTTATTATTATATGGACTAATACTAGTATGATAGGGGTCATTAACGAAAACCCAATGACAAAAAAGAAGGTATTAAATGAAAACGGCTGCCTCAATCACTACTTGTACCATGCCATGTCAACTAATACTCGAACCCAGGGGCGGATCAAGGATTGAGAGGTGGGATGGGCTAAGCAGCAATTTTTTTTACTATACATACAAGGTTTATGTCAGGGCTGTTATCTAATCGAGCTTTTTTGAATTATATAGTCGAGTTCGAGCTTAATTTTGCCTCTAATTTATCGTGTGTTAAAATCGAACATCGAAAATCTATCGAACCAAAATTAAGCACAATTTTATACTAATTGAATATTCATTTCACTTTCCTTTCTTGACAATATGTTCATTATCTATTTTAAAAAACATTTTCAATGTTCATATGAATTAAAAACATTCTATAAAATTATAAAAACTAATAAGTAAAAAACAATCGTTGTACCTAGAAGTAATAAGTATTCACAGTTTCAAAATTCAATTGAAAATTTCAATTATTTATTACATGTCCACACAATAAATAAATCATTCTCTAATCTTCAACTGTTGAATAAATGAATCATTCTCTAAATCTGTAATCTTTAATTCTATCTTTAATCATTATAAATTTACGGTGAATTAAACACTATTTTAATTCATAATGAAAAATTCAATTAATTTTCAAATTGATTCACTAACCCCAAAACCCAAAAAGGCTAAAAATATTACTGAAGTAATACACAGTAAGTCAATAACAGTCACAAAAAATAATAGAGCTAAAATCTAAAAAGCTCACATGGAGGCTGGAGCTTCGGAGCTGGAGGAAGAGGCCATAGCGGCAGGCTAAAATCTATCAATCATGACGGAGGGCTCTGGATGGCGGAACGCGGTGTGGACGGCGGAGGAAAGCGTGGTGCGGCAGGGTCGCAGCTCATATCACGAGTTCTTGCCTTCTTCGTCGCAAACTCGCAAGTCGCAGTTCTGTCTTCCTTCTTCTTCGCACTTCCGCCAGTTCGCAGCCTTGCAGGTAAGTTGAATAGGTGAGTTGGGCTGTGGGATGGGCTGGGAGCTAATTTTGGAGTGGGCTAATAATAAAACTTAGACCTATACTAATTAAAAAAATAAAAATTGGGCTGGGCCGAAGGCCACCCCTGCCCTAACTATCATCCGCCTCTGCTCGAACCACATAATCCAACTACTTTCCTACACCTTCCTTTTTAGAAAAGTGCATTTTTTTCATTGATAATATTTTCCTTTTTTGTTAAGCTTTACCAAGTACGTACTCAATTATTATCAATTTTTTTTCATATTCTTTTCATACTTTTCCATCTCATCTTTTGTTTTTTATACTCCGTACTACTTACCACTCCTACTATTTTCTTAAATATTGTACTCCCTCCGTCCCCTTTTAAATGTCCCATTTTACTATATTGGGATGTCCCTATTTAAATGTCTCATACCTTATTTGGTAAAGTTTGTGTGGTTCAAAATCATTCTTACTTTATTCTTACTTTATCAATTAATATCAACCACACAAACTCACTTTTCTTAAAACCCGTGCCACCCTCCTCCGGGACATTTAAAAGGGGACGGAGTAGTATCAAACTTTATTTTAGCAAACAATAAAATAAGAGTATTATATTATTAGACTTACTGTTATTAAAGTTGTATTGTTTTATCATTATCGAGATGTATTTTTATTTTGTGAGACTTTAGTTACATTATTATTATTATTATTATTATTATTATTATTATTATTATTATTATTATTATTATTATTATTATTATTATTATTATTATTATTATTATTATTATTATTATTATTATTATTATTATTATTATTATTATTATTATTATTATTATTATTATTATTATTATTATTATTATTATTATTATTATTATTATTATTATTATTATTATTATTATTATTATTATTATTATTATTATTATTATTATTATTATTATTATTATTATTATTATTATTATTATTATTATTATTATTATTATTATTATTATTATTATTATTATTATTATTATTATTATTATTATTATTATTATTATTATTATTATTATTATTATTATTATTATTATTATTATTATTATTATTATTATTATTATTATTATTATTATTATTATTATTATTATTATTATTATTATTATTATTATTATTATTATTATTATTATTATTATTATTATTATTATTCATATAGTAGATACAATTAATGTTTTGCTCACTATATTGAGGTGTATATATATATATATATATATATATATATATATCCTCTTTGGCTTAGTAGATTTTATGGTACTCATAAGGTACCATACCTTTGTCCACATGGACCAATCAGAATATTGCGGTTGAATTTTTAAAGCTAAATTAAAAGTAGTATAATGATTTAGACCAATCAAGTGAATAGTGGATACAGTACCTCATTTTTTCCAAACGTACCGGAGTTGTCACCTATCAATAAACTACTCCGTAATACGTAATGCTTTTCCCTTAAACAAAGTTGCAAATCAACACCTTACAAAAAGTAGACCTGGAGAACTGTATCATACATATATGGAGCCGATTACCACACATAACGCATATACTTTGTTTGAGGACTCTCAGAGATCGATGTTAGCTAGGAAATAAAAAAAAATATGAGAAATGCCACATTGTGAATTTGCTTAAGTACACGACTACACTCACAAGGGCCGTTTAATTTCTAACACGTGAGTTGCTCAACTTTCAATTAATCAATCGATTAGCATTTAAGAAACAAATCTTAATGCAACATATTCATTATTCATGAAACGCCATTGGTGTTGAATTATCATACAAAGTAGGGGTAGTTCAAACAAATTCAGCAACAGAACAAAAACAATATACAATTTTATTCCTTTTTTTTTTATTTGACAGCTCGAAAGTCGCCATTGAAGTGCGAATGGGAAAGAAGTTCCAAGACGAATTCAAACTGAGCTGATCCGGTTTGGTCATTTGTGAAGTTCCATGATCCATGTATTGACAGCGCAACAAACCTTGCGAAACTCTTTGAAACCGGCACCCTTAGCCAGGTCCTCAAATTCCTTCTCGGTTCTCTCTTTCCCGCCCGGATTAAAAGCCATCATGAAGACATCACCGTGGACCACATTTTTCGTCGCGAGAGAGGTGTCCGGTGCTTCTGGTAAAATGCCCTCTGCAAGGATCACCTTTCCATTTTCCGGAAGCGCTGCGTAGCAATTCTTCAAAAGCTTCAAACAGTGGTTGTCGCTCCAATCGTGACAAATCCACTATTAGAGCCAGTGGCATGAAAATTTAAAGATACAATCACATAGATGATTCTATATAAAGATACTCCATCCGTCCCTTAAAACTTTGCCATCTTTGAATTTTTTGGTCAACCATGTTCAACTTTGACCAATTATATATCTTTGTAGAAAATTATTTATGATATAAAAATTATGTGAAAACGTTCTTTGTTAAAAGTACTTTCATAAAAGTATAAAACTTACTACTTTCATAATATTATACTAATCAAAATTACGACCCAAACTTTACCACCGTTGACTTGAAAAGTCAAAGATGTCAAAGTTTTTAGAGACGGAGGTAGTACAATTTAAGCTATCATTTCAGGTCTAGCTAGCATGATTATTTCAAATTTAAAAGTGCAGTTTGCCTATTACAAATGTGTTTAATGTACAAAAATTAAACACGTTTGTATGCTCTCCCTATTATTACTACCGTTTTTAGAAAATCGACTAAAGTTCATCGAATTGCATAGTTGTCCTTTGATTGATTATACTCCGAATATAATAGAGATACTCCACAGTTTTATGACACTAGTTCCCATTACACAAGTCAAGAGCGGCTAATAATGCTTATTCCATTGTTAAGCCATTTATAACTATCAATATTGAGTTTGGGAGACTAAAATTGGAGAAATTTAGAAGAGATTTGGAAATTTATAAACTGATATTGAAGAAATTTATAAGAGAATTGGAAGACAAAATTAATTGGTCATATCCTACGTACCTTCATGAAAATGGCATCTCCCTTGGGCACGGACGCGAACATGTCCCCACCGACTTGCTCAATCCCTGCAAAAGTGGTAATGTCACATGTTGACTAATAAAAGAAATTGAAATGTAACATTTCAACAAAAGGTTAGAGTTGATAATACTCCGTAGTTGTCAAACTAAAAATGATAGTAGTAATTAAGTGAGTAGTGTACTAGGATGAGGATGGGCCTCATGAATAACATGAGGCAAGTCGAAGTTAATGCCCTTGATGTCGGGGTACTTGGAAACAATCGCGTTAAGGGTGCTGCCAGTCCCGCCACCGACATCCACCAAGGACTTGAGGCCTTCGAATCCTTTGTAATTTTCTAGGATCTTCCTTAGAACAATGCTGGAGTGACTCGACATTCCATTGTTGAAAACCTTGTTAAATCTTGGGTCTATTTTTGGATATTCAAATGCACTCATTCCATACGCCTTGTTGAAGGGTATCCCACCTTCAAGAACTGCATCTTTTAGGTGATACCTTAAATTTATTTGTGAACTAATCATTAGCAAGCTAATTATAAGAGGTTCATAACAAATACAAAATGTAAGTTACATTAGTTTATGTATAGATGATAAAAGGAATAGTCCAAAGTGGCGCATAAATTTGTGACATGTAATATACTTTGTGATTCTTAATTGAATGTAATAGTTCATTTTTACTATTAATGTACAACTTTGACTATTAGTGTAAGATTGTCTATATTTCTGTATGAGTAAAAAAACAGATTTTGGAAATTTAATGGGACAAATTTAGCAACACTTTTTTTAGGAAAATTTGACATTAATAATCCCACCTTTACCCGGTCTTCCCAAAACAGTCCGAATTATTAATAATCCAAAAAAAATCCAACCTTTGTATACTCTCTTCTTTCTGTGCTCCCATTCTAATCTTTACCGGTTATTAACCTTATTATTAAAATAGAGTACCGGTTAACCTTCCAAAACACCCGCACATCTCCTTCTTCGCACTTCCTCTTCATTCACACTTCCTCTCTCCCTAAGCTTCTACGACCTCACATAACTTCTTCCTTTCTCATTATACGAATGCAACATAGCCGGCTTTTACCTCGGAATAGCATATTGGGGTACGGTTGGTTGAATTTGGAAACGAAATTATTTAAAAATGTTCCAAAAGTATTCTCCTTTTGCACTGTTTTAGTTGACCAAATTGAATGCCTGGGGTTGACCGAAAAGAAATCCGATCCCATTGAAGCGGGGCAGCGGGAAAAACAGCTCAAAAAGAGAAAGCATTGTTGATAGCACAGGCGGGTTTAATCCCAATTTCCTCATCGATTTCCTCGGTGAATCGTCGTTCTCGTTTCAGATTCTCCTCTTCCAAGCAATATTATCCCTTTCTTGCCGTTAAGTGCTTCAATTACATTTCTTCTTCTCAAGTGTCGTATTTGCAATTAATGTTCAGAAGGTCATTAATGATGATTGGTAAGTCGGCGTGGCGTAAAGTGAAGATTGGGGGAGTAGATAATTTTCTCTAGACAAGTATTGGTAGAAAGAGTTCAAGCTTCGGATCGGCAATAAAAAGTTTACCTTTTCAGCCGGTAAAAAGTCACAGGGACCGTTAAAAGAAGAGAGTATACAAAGGTTGGATTTTTTTTGGATTATTAATAATTGGGACCGTTTTGAGAAGATCGGGTAAAGGTTGGATTATTAATGTCAAATTTTCCCTTTTTTTAAAAATATTTATCAATACATTAATAAATAAAGGGAAAATACATATTCTTAGTTAAATAAGATAAAAACGTTTGTATGTTCCAAAATACAACTATATATTGTGTTTTACTTTTAAATTATGCGTATTTAAGGTCATGTTTAGCATCACAGAATTTACATGACAATATTCCTAAGCTTAGCAATAATTACTTCTATTTTTTGAATAAAAATGATTCTTCTATTTTGCATTTTTCAAACATTTCAATAAAAAAAAATGTAGATAGGAGGAAGTATATAAACACCAGCTTTCCATGAGGACTTTGTCTTGATTCAAGAGCAAGAGCGGCGCCATGGAAACGCCGTCGGAGTTCTTCGTCAAATACTTGCACACCGGCGCCAAGCTATAGAGCCTCTCAACCCGTCCGTCATCGGGGATGGTCCGGAGAGAGCAGTTCAGGACAGAGTAGGTGCAGAGCAGCCGGAGAATCCGGTCCACCATGACGGCTGCGTCCGGGTTAGTTGTCGGAAGCTGAGCCGCGAGCTCGGAAGAGGAGACGGCTGCTTCCGGTCCGGCTTTAGCCATCAGCTCTAGCAGGTCCAGCTCTATCGCTGATTTCAGCACCATGGGGAGCACTGAAGCGCTCGCTAGCTGCATTGCGAGTAAGCTGGCGGCTTCATCTTCGTCCGACTCGGCTCGGCTCCTCACATGGCTCTTAGTTTCGGTCGAACCCATTACTTTTTCGTCGTATTTTGTTTCAATTTAATTTGAACTCTGTTAAATACTTAAATAAGTGCAGGCGTGATGTAATGAGGGGGAAAGAGACCGGTTGGAACTTGGTAGGTACAATAATTTGTTAAAAATAGCTGAAAATAGAAATACTACTTAATACATAAATACTCTGTACACTATTGTAAGCCTTCTGGCACATGATTTGGTGAATTAATATACCTGTCTGATGGATAGTCTACCCGGGGGTATCTTATCCGAGGGGTTATTGCGGGAATAACTTAGAGAGAAGTCAGAGCAAATAGGAGGAGAGAGAGTCGATTTATTAAATGAACTCGAGATGTGGAGTTGGGATGTAGATCATGATTTACAAGGAGAAATGGGCTGCTATTTATAGCAGCAATAAATGCGATGAGAGTACACGTGTCAGTAATCCAACGGCCGAAGGGTCACATCAACCGGTTGGCACCGGCAGTGGTACGTTCACCGCATTGAATGCGGTTGGCGGACGTGACGTGGCTTTAAATGCGGTGGTTGGCTGTCTCCAAAAGGAATCTTCGATGATTGAGCGTGTTTTTCCGAAGGCTCCTCGTGTAGCCGAGGGCTCTATGTGACCAAGGACCCCTGTGTAACCGAAGGCCCTGAGTGACCGAAGGCTTTGTTCAGCCGAAGGCTTCTCTGATGCCGAGGGCTCGATAATGCCGAAGGCTCATGTTTTTCGCCGTTTTCTCCCAGTAGCTTCTTATGCTAGAGAAGGCTATCCTGTGAGTTTTGGAGCCTTCGGCCAAGGAGGCCGAAGGCACCCCAGTGCGTGTTCTGGGCTACTTTGAGGCTTGGGCCGTTGCATTTGGGCCTGAGTTGTTCTCTGGGCTCAATGGACTTGTGTAGGAGAAGTAGGAGTCTATGGGCCGGGGGTTCCCGGGCCATATACTCCATCAGGAGTCCCTCACTCCTTTTGCCGAAAGGTACTTGAGGGAAAAGGAGTAGTTGTGTTGATTCTCCCAGAGGCTGCATCATTTCGTTGGGTGCCTTTGTTGGAGAATTCGTCTTCTGCTGATTGCCGAAGGCTTCCCTCAGGCCCTCACATGTCGAGGGTTTTCTGAGGGAAGGTATTCGTAACCTTCGCATGTTCGCCGGGGGCTCCCCCCAGTCCCTCACATGTCGAGGGCTTTCTGAGGGCAGTGTAACACCTGTATGACTGCAGAAGGCTTTTCCCAGTCCCTCACATGTCGAGGGTTTTCCGGGGAAAGCATAGATGTATTGCCTGCATGTGTTGTGACGAGGGCTGCTTCGTTTCCGCAAAGTGACTCGGGGAAAAATTTTGATACTCCACCTCTGCCGAAGGGTGTGTTGAAGTATGTACCCGAAAGTTTCTGCTTTGATGTTCACCCGGATGCTACATGCGTCAATTGTAAATCTTTGCATGAGAAATTTTTGTCCTGCATGATTCCCGAGGGGTGTATCCCAGTCCCCCACTCCTTTAGGCCGAAGGCAAGTTCGGGCTGAAGGAGTTATGATGAGTTGATGAGCCCCCGAGGGGTGGTAACATTGATAGGCCGAAGGCTTATGTTGCTACGGGCTCGAGGGCGTTTGGTGGGATTTGCTGCCCGAAGGCTGCGGTGAGTGGTAACCGGAGGCTTATATTGCAGTTTGACTGAGGGTACTTGGTGATATGTGTTCACCGAAGGCTTCATTAGTAATAGCCGGAGGCTATCGTCAAAGGTTGCCTCAAGAGGTTCTAAAATAGAGCCGTTGTGACATAGCCGTTGGAGGTGGGAGCCACGTGGCGTGCTCCAGTAGTCCGAAGGTGGGCGGGTACCACCCATTGGCTGAACCGGCGGCCCGTAATGATGGCCTTTTCAAATCGAGGCCCAGTTCTCGAGGCTGAAGGCCTATAAATACCCCAAGGCGGAGCTCAGTTCCCTTGTGCGTTTTCATGCGATAGCGAAGCTCTGCCAAAATTTCTAGAGAGAGAAAGTCTTTACTTCGATCAAACCCCATTTCTAAGGTCAGTTCTTCTTCTGTTCTTCGCCTGTTTATTAAGTTTTGCTTCGTTGCCTTAGATCTACTGTTAGGGCCTGTAGTAGCCTTCGGCTAGAATTCCTGATTAGTGTCTTCTCTTCAAACCCTCCAACACCTTCTTTGGGTAAGATGTCTTCTCAAAGCGATTCGCAAGACATTTCGAGGGAGCCGTCGGTAGGGACCGAGAGCCGTTCTGAAGTGGAGTCATCGAGCGACCAGCCCTCGACGAACAATGACCTTGCCACAGCCGAGGAGGTGCAGAGCAACCTTCGGGTAGAAATGGAGGCAGAGGAATTTGAACAAGTGGCGGAGGATGAAGAGATGGCCATCGCCCTCCAAGTGGCTGAAGAGGAGGAGGAGAAGGAGCGCCGTCGGGTAACGGTTGCCGTCATGCCCTCACGGGGAGCTGGTGAGGCGAGCACCTCTCGGCCGTTGGATGTTCAACCCCTCCGGGTAGCCGAGGGCAGGAAGAAGAAGAAGAAGGCGAGGACTGCCCCAAAGAAGAAGCAGGCAGCCGTCGACGCGGGACGGCCAGTTGGGATTCCCGAGGGCCACTCCTATCTGGACACCACTGCCCTCGAGGTGAAGACCACGGCCTTGAGTGCCGAGTGTTATGCCCTGCAGGTCCTTGTGGGACCGTCGGCGCAGGTTGTGGAGCCGGGTCCAGAAGATTTGCTGTCTAACCCTCCGGAGGGGTGTTTCTCGGTGCACATTTTGTCCGTGGAGCTAGGGCTTAGGTTCCCCCTACATCCTTTCGTCCTGCAGTATTTGAAATTTGTGAAGTTAGCCCCATGCCAGCTCACGCCGAACAGCCATTATTACCTGGCAGGCTTCCTGGCCCTCTGTCGTAGCCGGAAGGTGGAAGCAACACTGGACCAGTTCTTCCTATCCTTTAATCTGTGCCGGGGAGGCCATTCACACGCCGGGGGGTATGCCAACTTGCAACAGGTCCCGACTTGGAAATTGTTCTCCGAGACCCCATCCTCCCATAAGGAATGGAAGGAGAAGTTTTGCTACATCAGGCTGGCTGAAAATCCATTCCCGAGGGCTTTGAATAATCATTTCAAAAGGCACCCGAAGGTAGGCAATGCGGCCCTCGATAAGGAAGGAAGGAAACTGATTGAGAAGCCCGCGGGTTCTGAGAAAGTAATTGCTATTAAGGAAGCGTCGCTACCCGAGGAGCTCTATCTGTTAGGATTCCGAAGATACCGTCTTCCGGGGGAAACGGACGAAAAATACCCTGAAATCGACCGAGGGTATCTGAATGCCAGAGGTTGTTCACCGAGGGCTCTTGTTGTGTTACTTAGAAAAATTTTCCTTGTCTTCTTTTGATCCTAATCCTTCCTTCATTTTTTGCAGGTGACGTAATGGACGTTCAAGCCTTCGCCCGATTGTCAAAGAAGCTGGCCAAGGTGCCGAAGAAGAAGAAAGACGAGGGGTCCTCGAACCAGCCCCTCGTCGATGAGGCGTTGAAGAAGGCAGGGGCTCCCAAGGTCCCGGAGGGTGGGGACCCCTCCCAAAAACCCGCTGCTGATTCCGGTGCTGGTGCCGGAGGCTCCCAAGACGGGGAGCTAAAGAGAAAAAATGCCGGGAAGGGTGTCATGCCCCCGGAGAAGAAGAAGAAGAAAAGGAGCGAGGGGGGTAAAGATGCCCCCTTGGTGATCATCGACGAGCCCCCCACCTTCCAGCCTTCAGAGTCTGTCCCTTTGGAAGATTTTGCCGAGGGGGCATGGCCCCAGGAGACGGTGCAATTCTCCTTCAAAAAAGGAACCGCAATCATGCATGGCACCCTCGATCCGAGGGAGTTCCTGAGGGGTGCAACTCCCCCGCTGGATCGGTCTACTCTCGGCCGATTTGACGACGAGGCTCTTGAAGTCAAAGCCCTCCAGGCCTCAGTTTCTGTGAGTTCCCGGATCTCCTGTATTTTGTTGTCGTTAGCGTCCTTTCCTTTGCATGTTTTTGATTTTGAGTGTCCTTTCTTTGTTTGCAGGCCAGCCTGGCTTTTGGAGAATATCTCCGGAGGATGGAACAAATTCGCCTCCGGAAGGCGGAAGACGATGAGGCCCTGAAGAACCTTGTCGTCAAGAATACCGAGGCCATCAGGAAGATGGCTGAGCTGGAGGAGGCCCTGAGGCAGGCGGGGAATAAATTGGAGGCCGTTAAGGTGGAGGCCCGGGCCGAGGGCAAGGCTGAAGCTGAGAAGGCAGCTGAGGAGGCCTCAAAGAAAGCCGCTGATGCAGCCGAGAAGGCCAAGGTCGAGGCCGTCTCCAAAGCCGAGAAAGATGCCGTTGCTGCCTTCAAGTCCGAGGGGTGGAGAGCAGATGGCTTGGAGCAGTGGAGGGCATCGGTGGTAGAGTCCTCGGTGGATGCTTGGGTGAAGGGCTCCGAGGCTGAGTGGATGGCCCTAAAGGGCAAAGATTACTTTGATGGGGGCGAATTCTTCACCCAGCGCCTCATTTACCGAAAGCTAGCCGAGCACTTCAATGTTCCCAAGGATGACTTTGATCCTTCGGCTTATGGCCTTCCTCCCCGGCAGCCTGATGTCCGAGTTCCCCTCCCGGAAGGTGAAGAGAGGGCCCAGCTTGCTGATTCGGAGGGATAGTCTACCCGGGGGTATCTTATCCGAGGGGTTATTGCGGGAATAACTTAGAGAGAAGTCAGAGCAAATAGGAGGAGAGAGAGTCGATTTATTAAATGAACTCGAGATGTGGAGTTGGGATGTAGATCATGATTTACAAGGAGAAATGGGCTGCTATTTATAGCAGCAATAAATGCGATGAGAGTACACGTGTCAGTAATCCAACGGCCGAAGGGTCACATCAACCGGTTGGCACCGGCAGTGGTACGTTCACCGCATTGAATGCGGTTGGCGGACGTGACGTGGCTTTAAATGCGGTGGTTGGCTGTCTCCAAAAGGAATCTTCGATGATTGAGCGTGTTTTTCCGAAGGCTCCTCGTGTAGCCGAGGGCTCTATGTGACCAAGGACCCCTGTGTAACCGAAGGCCCTGAGTGACCGAAGGCTTTGTTCAGC